GCCATTCAAACAGACTTCCTATTGACTCTATAGAAGCAGTTTCGTATCTCTGCCTTAAATAGCTGGTAGCTAATGCCATTCAAACAGACTTCCTAATGACTCTATAGAAGCAGTTTCGTATCTCTGCCTTAAATAGCTGGTAGCTAGTGCCATTCAAACAGACTTCCTATTGACTCTAAAGAAGCAATGTTTCGCATCTCTGCCTTAAATAGTCCTCTACTTATAGAATGTGTTCACGCGACAGAATACCCAGAAAACGTCATAAACAGCAGTATTTTATAAAGCATACCTTGTCTGACAAGACATAAATTGAAATATTCCCGGCTGCTTGTTTTTCCAGGAAGGTCAAGACTCCAGATGTGGGATATATATCAAGGCTTGCGTCTGTATCACTAAGGATAACCCATGAGACATCCACAGTACCAAAGGTACCTTTATTTCGCTGCACCTCAAAACTGACTGTGGTGTTTTCTTCTTTTACCTCAGCTAAAATACGATCAGAAAGTAACTCTATTTTTTTATCCCAATTTGCGGGGAATTAAGTTTAAATTTSAAACAGGTGTTTCAATGGTACACTGATGAACAGGTAAGATATTCGAGCATCAGTCAGTCCAACTAGTGGTCTATCATCAATGCTGCGTTCTGATTGGATGAGCTACTACTAGGCTATAAGTTATAGCCTACTAGTAGCGAAAAGTGCTGACTTTGAAAACCAAAACATTAAATTGAACTTAAACTTTGACTCAAAACTTGTTTGCATTTAAATATTTGACCGACTAACAATCTCACTAAAAAATCGATTTCTTGTTAGAAAGCTGAGAAGGCATTGGGTACGAGAACAGACGACCCACTGCTAAATAGCGATTCACATGTTAACGAACGGTTATCAGGTACTTACCCACACGCTTGACAGAGTCCCGAGCAGCGAATTCAATGACACCATACGGGTCATCATTGGCGGGAATGGTGATGTTTATCRTTATGTTCTGACCCAAAGTCCCTGGTGAATACTTTGGTGACTGATATTGATACAGGACAAGAGTATAGTGCTCGTCAATCTGAAACAACAACAAGCATAGATTTAATTAAGGTACGTGACTCACACAAAATTGCGAGTGAATTTAGCAATTTTTAAACTCGCTCGTTTTGTTTTTAAAACAATCGGATATTTCTGAATTTAGCACATATAGTAGCTCAATCATTAGGCTTTTGACGGTGTATTTGCAATTTTATTTTTGAACTGCGTTTCAGGCCCGCAGCAGGGGTAAAATTATTCAGTGGATGGGCTCGTTTTGCCAGGCCCCATATGACCGTACCAACTTTTATCAAATTTACAAAACAGCATAATTAATAATCAAAATTCTTTATTTTATGGGCAAAAGACCTTCAGCATCGAACATGTGAATATCTCTATTCAATAATATCACGTCAGAGTATGTACAAGCAAAAAATAGAAATTCAACATATGTATATGAAGCACACAGCTGACTTGATATAAAAAGAACCAGTTACCTTTAATTAAGTTGATTTAATAAAAGAAGCCGAGAATGAAATCGACAAGGTTCAGACACGAATTTCTAAGGCCCTGGCTAAACGAGGAAACATGTTTCCTTAAATGTTTCCAAAGGTGGCAAAACTGTCAGGGAACATCGGGAAACATGTTTACTCAATATTGGTTAGCGTATGCACACTTTCAAGATAAGTAACGAACTTTTAGAATGTTGACTTTCGTGGCTAAACGAGGAAACATTGGGAAACATTGTTTTCATGCGTCTTGAAAGCATGAAATGTTTCTGCCGCGCAGCAGAAACATTTTTGCGTCTTGGAAGCAAAATTTGTTACACGCAGCAATGTTTCGCATGTGGCTAAACTTGGAATCATCGGGGAACATGTGCGTGGGAAACATGTTTCTGGAAACTTGTTTCCTCGTTTAGCCAGGGCCTAAATGCAAATTATATGAAGCATTTGAATGGTTTCTTTCAAGTATGTGCTTTTCCGTATGTCTCGTTTTCAGTTTTCATCATTTACAAATGCCAACTATGTGAACTTTTTTCGGAAAAATGAGTCGCCTCTATCAATTTTAAGATAATAGTGTTTGAAATTTAGCTGTACGTTTACTT